TTATGTATGGCCGCTTTCAGGGGGATAATCCTTCCCTGTAACCTTCTGTGTGCCCTAGTCCTCTCCCAGGTGAGATTGGCTGCCATTCAACTTAGAGGGGCTGTTCTTAGAGGAAGAGCAGGATCTGAAAATAAAGCCTAGCTTGTGTTTTACCTCATTTGCCAAGTTACTTTTTCAGTAGCCTGAAGAGAGACAGAAGCCCTTGTATGGAGGAAAGAGCGTTTCTGTGCTCCCTTGAAACCGGCCACCTGGCTCCCAGCCGGGCCATCTCCATCACCACCAAGGAGCAAGGTGGCGATTCAGGTTTAAGAACAGGTATTTCAGGGGATTTGTCTGTGCATGTTAAATGTGTCTTGAGACACGGTGATAGGACATGAGATTCTTCATGGATTTCAGAAAATCAGGAAATGGAGCAGGGTGGGGGCTTTTGGGCTGAGGTCGGGAATACCAGGTAAAGTCAGAGGACTTTGCAATCTCCAAATGGGTGTGGGGTTCCAGCATTTACTACGCAGCCTTTGTTTGGTGAGGGTGAGCTTGGGTTAGTAGAAGGAGACCAGAAGGGTGGTGGAATGCAGGAATGCAGAAGTCAGCTGTCATTGTGGACAAGTCACCTACCCTTCCTGGGTCTCACTTTCCTAACCTGTGGTCTGGTGTGATGAAACACAGCCTGCCATACTGGGTATTTGGGAAGACTGAATTAAATAACCCAAGTACCTAATACTTCTTTTGCTCAAAAAGGGCTGAACCAGAAACTCTGCACGCTGGGCAAACTTGATCAGAAATAATCATGTTTTAAGACCTCAGTATTCAGGAGGTATTATTCTGGTTTATCTCTTTTCTCAGTGTATGAGTCCCTTTTCCCCCCCTTTATTTAGTGTTCCAGTAACATCATATAATCCAGATCATCAGTTTCCTTATGTGTAACATGGGAATAAAGATAACAGCCCTGCTTATCTCAGAGGATACTTGGGAGGGTCAGATACAGTGATGAATATGACCATACTTAAAGCTTCATGGAAATTCAGGAAATGGTAATGGTGATATTTTTTGGCAAAAAGGGCAGCATCTATATTAGGGAAGAAAGGTTGGGGAGCTGCATCTAGATCTGATCAAAGAACAGCTATATTTTTGTCCACTTTAAAAATCTATGTATCTTCTAATGTTAGAATGTAAACTTCATCTTAGTGTCTAAACCTTTCAGCTCAGGATTCATTTACCCAAAACTCTAGGCTTATTTAAGCTGGTATAAGTTGGGTGTGGTGAGCCCAGGAGTTGCTATCAAGGTCATACAATGTATATGAAGTGGTTGCTGGATGCTGGATGCTGCTCCAGGCATATAGAAGATTCGCTCTTTGCGCGTATCAGAGATCCTCCTAGCTGACCTTGGATTAGGACCAACAGTTGTTTGGGGGCTACTGAGTGCCACACAGGTGCTGTCATTCAGAACTTTGGTTCTGGGCACAACAGAAGGAGGGAGGTGCAGAGGAAAAGAGAGAGAGAGTAGCAGTGGATGCTGATGGTGCTGTTTTTCTGATGCTTTGTCTTTAGGGATTTCTGATCGTGGCCAGGAACCTGTGAGCCCCATAGACTCCTAAGCAAAGGGGACAGCAGGTTATCATGCAAAAAGAGCATCAAATCTACAAATAGAAGACTAGAATTTATGTCCCAGTCTTATCACTTATTGATGACATTATCTTAAGCAAGTCACTTAACCTCTCTGAGCCATTTCCTCATTCATAAAATGGGGGTTGACATTGTTACATAATAGTAAGAGGTGTAAGGAAAGGTTTTGTAGACTGTAGAGTCCTTGAGAGGTAACTGGATAGTGGTGTTGTTGCTTCATTATTATTCCCATTATGAGCAGAGCATTTTTTTTTTCTACAGGTGAAAATGAGGCAGGCTTAGAGTTTGTGTTTTCAGAATTCCCTGGTGAATGGAAGTGACTCTCTAAAAGGAGCTGGGTATTAAAAAAAAAGAAAGAAGAATAAACGGAAGCTGGGTATAAATAAAGTCTAACCCTTGAACATGGTGCAAGGATTTCTGGACCAGATGTTACCGGGGCCTGCTTCTCATCCTTATCTAGATGCCCGTGCCTTAACCCTGCTTTTGGTGAAGATCAGGTCCCTGTCTGCCAGACGGAGTCTTGGGATTCCATGGGCTTGCTTCAAACCTGGAGCTGGGAATTTGGAAGCTGGAGCGGTTGGGAGGGGTAAAAGGGTGGCGGGGGTTGTGCACAATCACAGGGCCAGCTCACCCCAGCCACCCGAACACAGGACACTCTGGCCAGGCCCCAGGGCAGAGTAAGAAAAATTTTGTAGGTATAGAGAGTTTTTTCTTTTTTAACCTTTATACTATACTCATTAAACCTACTAATCTCTGGGGTGGCCTTGTGCTCGCTTTGGAGATGGGGCTAATACTTTAACACTAGCAAAATGAGATGATAGAGTGACTCTGACAGTGAAAGCATTTTAACCATCTGTATTAGGAGCCTTAAAAAATGACCGTGCCCTTTGAGTAAGTAATTTTACCTCTGGGACCTTTACCCAAGGAGATAATTTGAATTGCAGGAAGAGTCTGTACTAAAAGATGTATAATGCACCTAAAATATCCAGCATTACATGAATGTAAATCTTTTCTAGAATGTAAGCACCATGGGGTAAGGACTTTTGTTCACTCTGTATCTCCAGCACCTAAAGCAGTGCCTGGCACACAGATGGCCAATGAACATTTTTTAAATGGTTATAGACAAATATACATCCATAGGATAAAACTCTTACTGGTTTCACCCGCTATCTGGAAGTAGAGCATTCTTTTTTTTTATTATTATGTTATGTTAATCACCATACATTACATCACTAGTTTTTGATATAGTGTTCCATGATTCATTGTTTGCGTATAACATCCAGAGCTCCATGCAGAACGTGCCCTCTTTAATACCCATCACCAGGCTAACCCACCCTCCTCCCCTCTAGAACCCTCAGTTTGTTTTTCAGAGTCCATCGTCTCTCATGGTTCGTCTCCCCCTCCAAAATTCCCCCCTTCGTTTTTCCCTTCCTATTATCTTCTTCTTCTTTTTTTTTTTTTTAACATATAATGTATTATTTGTTTCAGAGGTACAGGTCTGTGATTCAACAGTCTTACACAATTCACAGCACTCACCATAGCACATACCCTCCCCAGTGTCCATCACCCAGCCACCCCATCCCTCCCACCCCCCACCACTCCAGCAACCCTCAGTTTGTTTCCTGAGATTAAGAATTCCTCGTATCAGTGAGGTCGTATGATACATGTCTTTCTCTGATTGACTTATTTCGCTCAGCATAACACTCTCCAGTTCCATCCATGTCGTTGCAAATGGCAAGATTTCATTCCTTTTGATGGCTGCATAATATTCCATTGTATATATATACCACATCTTCTTTATCCATTCATCTGTAGATGGACGTCTTGGCTCTTTTCACAGTTTGGCTTGGAAGTAGAACATTCTTATGAAACCTTTTGTAAGACAGAATGATGTAAGGCAAGGGAGAGATTACTGTAATTTATATGGAAAAATTTTTGAGCATTCCCAGACCCCCAAAGTAACCTCTTAGGCTTTTCTGATATCTTAGGACATGTTTTGTTAATAGATGCACAAAATAAATCGAGACAAAACACAGTTGCTCCCAGACACATACAGTTCAAAGCTATGGCAGCCTGATGCTGAGATGCTTGTGTAGTTCCCAGGTAGGGAGCTTGGTGGCGCCACTCACTGCTCTGGGTCGCGTTGCCTCAGTGAGGCCTACCTGCAAAACAAACGCTGGATGCGATTTTTGCTTTACAACTTGTTTTTTTTTTTTGTTTTTTGTTTTTTTTGGTGAGAGCAAAAATTCTCTTCAGATTTCTTTCAGTTAGTGAAAACAGGTACTAATGTAGGTCTTTCCTAAAAATGAAGTGGCGTAATGTGAACTTCCAAAAAGCGGGGGACACATGGCTTCAGCTATTTCAAATGATGAAGTCTTAAGGACGTAGGAAATTTTCTAGATGAGTAGAATGTGAAAAAGGCAGGATACAGATTTCTAAATAGAGCAAAATCAATTTTTTAGTAGAAGGGAAAAAAACTAGGGAAGGAGAAGATACTCCGGTATATCTGTAAGTTGTGAGATCATGGGTGACTTTTTTTCTTTTTGTATTTTCTAAAATTTCTAAAAGGACTGATTTTTTGATTGGGGGAAAACACTTTAATATAAAATCATATTCTTTGGCAGGGGGTAAAGGACGTCAGGTTAGTTTATTCATCGGGCAAACCAGCAGCCTCTAGAGCCCTCTCCTTGTTTCTGTCAAAGAACCAGGCAGCCTTTGTGAATACACAAAACACCTACACACTTTGGTTGTGTCTGTCAGCTTGGCATGGAAGCTGTTCCCTTCTAACTTCAAAAGGATGATAGAAACTCCACAGTGTTGAAATTGTGCAGGTCGTGTTGCCGAGACATGCCCATACATTTATATCCCATCACTGAAGTGAAGGCATTCTGTAGTAGGGAGAAGAATTTTAAGAAGATAGATTTTTCTGGGTGGGTGGTTAATTCTTGGAATTCTTTCCCTAGTTCATGGTTTTGGGAAGCTGTTGAAAGTGCTGTCTGCTTTGCTTCATTCTTGTTTTAGCTCGTGCCATCTTAAAGTAACTTGTTGCTGAGTGGTTCGGTCTGTCCGTACTTCATGGAATGTCTCGAAGATGCAGTGTTCTCTTGCAGCCAAGACTTTCCTAGAATTAAAATCCCTGTGTCTTAGGTGGGCTTGGGCACCTGAGCTGAAAGTTCTTGTTTTTTTAAATGCAACTGGGTCCTGACAGATGAAATGCGTCTCTGAAGAAAAGGCCCACTCTCTCACCCTGGGAGGAATGTGTGATGATCAGGGGTCCTCAGACATTACTGACCTGTTGTTGTGTCTGGAAGCCTTTCCATTCCCATGACTTCTCATTCATTATCTCTCTCTCTCTCTCTCTCTCTCTCTCTCTTTAGCCATAACCAACAGACCACAGCATTCAGGCATCCTGTGAGTGGGCAGTTTTCTCCAGAAAATAGCGAATTTATTCTTCAAGAAGAGTAAGTATTTCTCTGTGTTCTCCTTTTCCAAGCAGAGTTTGGGAGCTTAAAGGCGTTGGCTCAAAACAGCTTGTTGGACTATTTTCTCTCCTCGATAGAGGGACTTGGAGTGGGTTGATTGATTCAAAGTGGAATGCAAAAATTTTGTTTTTCAATCCCTGGACTTCTCTCAGTGGGAAGATGCGGAAGTGTGGAGATGACACAGGTTTGTGCCATGATTGGTACTGTCAGAGCCTCTTGCAAACTTCCTTTCCCCTGAATGACCCCCCTCCCCACAGTATCATCTAGCACACTACCTGTACTCTTAAGAGGACCCACTCATCTGGACTGAAATGGCCTTAAATCACACCAAACTGAACCATCCTTTCGAGGAAGCCTCAAATAAAGAGTACAAGGCCATGGCTTCAAAAGGAGGATGGCTGTGGCACCCATTGTCCCTGAACGTCTAGAGTTCTTTCTGTTTGTTTTTTCTGATGTGGGGACTTTCTTGCTCCTCAATCCGATTTCAGCAGGGCCCCTGGGGTGCTCAGAGGTAGGTTCTTTTTTTTTTTCCCCCCCCCCCCCCCCTCAGAAGTAGGTTCTATCACCCAGGGCTCATCTCCTTAAAAATGCCTAAACAGCCCAAGCAGGATGTGTACTTCTCCCAAAAATGAAGGCAGAGAAATGTATGCAAGTGGCTGTTTCCTTTTGCTCATCTGAGAAACTTCTGTTTGAAGTAAATAATTCTGTTTGAGAAATTAATAGAGATGTTGGCTTTTTCTCCTCTTCATATCATTTTTCTGTTCAATCATCTAGACCAAATATGATCTGAAAATAAATGATCAGTATTTATATTTGTATAGCATTTCCCTCCCTCAGTTCTTACACTTTTAAACTTTTGATTATGGAAAATTTCAAACCTATACAAAAGGAGAGAGATAAAGTAATAAGTCTAATGTATTCATCTCCCATCTTCAACAGTTTCCAAAACATGGCTGATTTTTTTTCATCTATAGCGTCCCCCTTGCCACCTAGATTATTTTGAAGCAAATTCCAAACATCATTTTGTTCCTACAGTATTTTCATTTAGAATCATTATCTTTCAGAACTTTTAAAACTGGAAATCTGTAATGATGATACTGACATTCCTTGCCCATTTACTCTGTGCTGGGGGTTTTACATGCATATCTCATGTAACACAACAATCCTGAGAAGTTGACCATTATCACCGTTTTAGAGATGAAGACACCAAGACTCAAAGAAGCAAGGTCACTTGTTCAAAGTTGCATGGCTGGAAGTAGAAAAAGCCAGGTTGTCATTTCTGCCTGATCTCTTCAGTCAGGGCTAACCCTTGCCACTAGTGAGAGGCTACTTGCTAAATTCTTTGGATGCTCATGGCCCATGGGTCATGATGCCAGACTGGGGTTGGGGGTCTGACTTTGAAAGCATCAGTACTATTAGAAAGTAGATGGGAGGTAAAGATTGTCTTGTCTCCTACATTGAGACAGAACTGCTATGTAAAGACAGAGCCAGAATGTGGATTCTCCACATTCCAACTTGGAATGAGCATGTTTAAAGAATCCTGAAGGTCAGAAGCTCTTGGGAGGTCAGAGAGTTTAGCCCCCTTCCTAAGGCATCCTAGAGACATGGCTGCCTGTCATTTTTAAAGGTCTGGATGGAGAATCCATTAGAACACCTAGTTTGGGAAATTACCGACTTTAATAAAAGCTTCTAGAGAAATTCAGACTTCCCATCACTAAACACCCTTGTCTTATACACATCTCCTTTCCCTTGCTATTAAGACTTTGTCCCTGGGTGGGGGGATGGGTCAGCCTGGTGATGGGTATTAAAGAGGGCACATTCTGCGTGGAGCACTGGGTGTTATGCACAAACAATGAATCATGGAACACTACATCAAAAACTAATGATGTAATGTGTGGTGATTAACATAACAATAAAAAATTTTAAAGGGGGAAAAAAAAAGACTTTGTCTCTGCTGGCTACTTCTGAGAAGGTAGCCTCTTTTATCCTTCCAAAATATCTCTGTAGCTAATCTCAGTTCCATCCAGTTTCCAAGACAGAACTTTTTTTCCAAGGGTCACTTTTCCCCTCTAGATCACATTTTCTGGATGTCATAAGGACTGCTGGCTTGTCTCAGGTGGTGGGTGCAATGTCGGGTGACCAGACGTTCCTTGAAGCAGGCAGAATGTGCTTTAGGCATTGAGAGGAGGGGAGGATTCCTGTGAACTGATGTGGTGATCCCTGCATTTACTCTTTAAATACTAAGTGCCTCTCTTGTGTCAGGGGCTGTGCCAGACTCTGCACTTATAGCAGCAAGCAAGACCAATGTAGTCCTATCTATGAAGAGTTGATGGTAGAGTAGGGAAGACAAATAAACAAGAGATCACAAATGTGATAAATATTCTTGGTAGAAAAAACCTAGGGTTCAATGGGAGTTGATAAAAGAGGGTTCTAACCTGGCTTAGGGATTGTGGGAGGCCTCTCCATCCGGGGAAGGGATGCTGTTTAAATTGAGACCTGTCCAGTCACAGTCCCAACCTGGGCAATGACCTAGAGGAGAAAGAGGGTAGAGCATGGGGGATCTATACCAGTTGAGTTAGAATGAAAAATGAGACACACGAGGTGGACTCTGGAGGTAAAATTGGACTTGGGAGGTAAAATTGACAGGACTTGATAATTGATTGGCTGTGATGGGGATGAAAGAGAGGGAAGACTTTCTTGACGTGTCTGGCCCTAAATTGGAGGAAGGGGGGATTTAGATAAGTGATGATAAGTGTACATGTGCGTGTGTGGGTCATTCACAGCTGAGGGAAGTGTGACTGGCCTTGGTGGGGTCAGAGGCCAAGAGGGACTGACTTATAGCCGAGGTTTGCAAAGGGGAGTGAGGAGATAAGGTTGGAGAGGGAGTTGCAGCCAGTTATCTAAATTGCTTCCTCCTGAAATACACCCAGATTTACCCCTGGTGGAACTTTGGAGGGTGTGTGAGGCACGATTTCACCTCACAGAACCCCAGTTTTTTAAAAATGTGCCAACAACGGGCACCTGGGTGGCCCAGTTGATTAAGTGTCTGCCTTTGGCTTGGGTCATGATCTCGGGGTCCCGGGATCGAGCCCCATATGGGGCTGTCTGCTCAGCGGGGAGTCTGCTTCTCCCTCTCCCTCTCCCTCTGCATGCTCTCTCTCTCTCATTCTCTCACTATTTCAGATAAATAAATAAAATCTTTAAAAAGTGCCAACAGATAAGAGTCCTGTTTTATGCCCTTAGAGGAGCTTAATTTTGTTGTGTAGTGTGTTACTTGGTGAGGAAAAAAAGACCGAGATAGCCATTCTTGTGTCCTTTACACATCAGCTCTCCGATTAATGTGGTGGGTGGAAAACAGGCTCTTTTCTTTTTCTTCTCTGAGTATCTGTTGAGGCCACATGGACTCCTCTTGCCAGAGCCTCCACCTGAGGTTCTTGAAGTGAATCCTTCCATAGCATTGGTTTTCAGTGTGGTCTCTGAGCCAGCATCACCTGGGAACCTCTTAGAAATGCAGATTCTTGAACCCCATCCCAGACCTATTAAATCAGAGACTCTGGAGGTAGCACTCTGTAGCCTGTATTTTAAAGGCTTCAAGTGGTTCTAATTCAGGTAAAGTTTAAAAACCACTGATTTAGGGGCACCTGGGTGGCTCAGTCGTTAGGCATCTGCCTTCCGCTCAGGTCATGGTCCCAGGGTCCTGGGATCGAGCCCTACATTGGGTCATTCCTCCTGCTCTGCAGGAGGCCTGCTTCTCCCTCTCCCACTCCCCCTGCTTGTGTTCCCTCTCTCGCTGTGTCTCTGTCAAATAAATAAATAAAATCTTAAAAAAAACAAACAAACACTGATTTAGACAACTTGCTATTTTCATCCCTCCTAAATTACTCCTAGATTCTTCCTTTCATCCTTAAATCTCCTCCAGATACCCATTGTTCTCTGTGCTGTGGTGCCAATCTTAGATGTATTTTAGTCATATAATCTTGGGCTCCTTCTTGTGTGGGGAAAAAAAAAACCAAACCAGTCTCCATGGTGGCTTCCTTGAGAGCATCACTGTGTGGACAGATAACACATCTACCCCATTGTTGGCAGGTGGGGCTTACCTGAGCTGCTTGGTGTAGCAGGTGTATGCCTACCCACAGATGACTTCCCACCTTACAGATTGGAAGCATGGAGAAGAGAAATAATGTCAAAGCTATGATCAGTGGGTCCAGAGGACATGAGCTCTGAGTATTTTAGTTTCTGTGTCAGTAATACAGAATCAGCCAGGATGGGCTAGGGTCTGCTGTGGTAACAATAACAAACAAAATCTCAGTGACATAAAAGAATAAGGTTTATTTCTCGCCTTTTTTTTTTAAAGATTTATTTATTTATTTATTTGAGAGAGAGAGAGAGAGAGAGACAGTGCTTGGGGAGGGGCAGGGAGAGGGAGAGAAGCAGACTCCTCTAAGCGTGGAGCTTGATGTGAGGCTCAGTGTCATTACCCTGAGATCATGACTTGTGCTGTTATCAAGAGTCAGATGCTTAACCAACTGAGCCACACAGGTGCCCCTATTTCTCACTTTTGCTCCATGTCCATCATAGGTCACCTGAGGGATTTTGTTCTGTTGTTTTTGTTGAGGGATGCTCCATCTCTGTGCTTCCATGGTGGCCAAAGCCAAGATAAAGGGAACTTAGTGAATTGTGCACTGCGCTTTCACTCACACTTCATTGGCTAAAGCAAGTCACATGACCTTCTCTAACTTCATGGGGCCAGGGAAGTGCATTTCTACCATGCACCTGGGAAGACAATCCAAAATATCTGTTGGCCAGCACTAATGACTATACTTAATAATCCACAGTCCAGATTTATTAAGGGAAGTAGGACCTTTTAAGTCTATCACTGACAAGCTTCTTTTGCTCCTATGATTAGAGGATTTGATTTCTGATTTCACCTTTTCTGTTACACGATCTGGTTCTTTGTCAGAACCGTCAGGGCAGGTGGG